TTGCATATTTATCGTGCGAGTGATCTAGTTAATTAATTAACTTTAATTAATGCAATTAATTTGAGATGAGTATAGTCAGGGATGCAAAAGCTAAATGGTTTCAAAAATTATTCAGCATTGTTTCTTGTTTTTTTTTTTTAAATTTAAAATTAAAAAAAGGGTTTTTTTCATTTTGATGAAGATTACACAATGTTTAGAAATTCCTTTAATTCTTTTGAAAAAATTTGATCAATCTGTCCGAGAAAAAAAACGGTTTGATCGATTGATTTAAAAATTTACAGAGATATTGGGGGTACATTAAGCTGTAAAAATCCTGGACATCTCATCAATATTTGTGAAAACGTGGTAGATTTACTAAAATAGTAACATTGAGGTAGTCTTTCAAAAATCACAAAAAAATTTAAAAAATATTTTGTTCCCTTAATTTTTTGGAATAGTATAAGTATGAAAAGTTTATGTAAATGTTTTGTCGTTTGGAAGGATTTGACATAATAACAAATCTTTTTTCAAGGAGTTTTGCACTTAGAAACCTAATTTTGAATTAATTTGGAAAATGGAAAAACAACATAGATTAACATAAACAATGAATTTGATTCATTTTCTCGAAGGGGAAAATAGAATAATAGAAAATTTAAGACATCTTTATTGAATTAAAAGTGATTTTAAAGAATGCAAAGTTACTAAAAAGGGATTACAATAAATTCGAAATTCCAAATATGTATTATTAAGTTATATTTTTTTTTACCTTAAGCAAGAGTACATTATTTATAATGGGTGTTCTGCACCCATTAAAAAAATTCAATGAGTGCATCCTGATGCACTCACGTAGTTTCGGTAGCTGCCACATGTGTTCTTTTAATTTTCAAATTTTCATATTTTTTCTACTAATTCAGTGCAGGGATGACGTCACCAAACTTTCCGGCAAGTTTAAACTGTAAGACGATTACGTGTTGTTTTCCAATCGACCCACATTTAAACGGTGAAATAATAAGTAAAATGGGGAAGATCTTATCGATTGACTTTCTACTGTCTGACCTACGATCCCCAAGAACGGAATCGATATTTCGTTGACAATGAGTTTTAAGTTGACGCTAAAAAATTAGTAAAGAGACAATGAAATTGCGGAAATCCGGTTTCGTTATTTAACAAAATAATTGTCTTCCGAAGCTGATGTCTTAAATATTCAGCAATGATTGGTCGGCAATTGTGTCAGAAATAAAACAGCTCGGCAGTAATAAAAGCGGGCATTACGTAATTGATATAAATCAATAAATTTCCATTTCCGGTTGTTACATACATAATTAGTGTTAAGTAAAGTGGGTCGTGATTTTTCCGACCGCACATTTCCACCCATCATCAAAAATGTCGTCGAATTGCAAAATCTCCTCCAGGATGTGTGAGTGAAAAAATCAATTTCCGTTGACGTAATGTCGTTATTAATTAGAATAAGAAATATTTGAGTGAGTGGCCTTTTCCCACGCATCGCGCGCCGAATTCCAGGCCCGCACCTGCCCGCAGAGATTCGGTTCTTGGGCGACATCCGGCGCAGAGCTAATGAACCTGGTGAACTCGTCCGATGAAACGGAACGGCTGTTTTTGCCGCTTTCAACGACATATTTCCTCCGAAGGCTCATTATTTCTCGTCCTTCGGGCTTCAACAGTCACGCTGATTGCTGGAACCAGTTATGACTTCCGGTATATGTGAACCTCTCGGACGGCCTGCAGGTAAGTATCCAGAGATTTTAATCATACCTTTCGATGACCGCTCTCCAACAGCCGAAGTATTATTACCAGCGAGCCCTCCCATATACGACGATGATTTATCGACACAACCGCTTCTTATCTATGGGAACCGTTTCAAACACATTTCGGATGATGAGCCAAATTAATAGCCACAACAATCGCGAAAACAAAACCAAAGCTTATAGAGGGGCAACAGGAACAGAGAAGTGAGAAAATCTAATTCACACTACTATTTTTTGTTTACGTTCCTTCAAAAACGGAGTTTCTGTTAGGAATTATCTTTCTTCAACTTCAGTTAAATTGTAGGTTTTTACACAAATAAACCATTATTACGGGTATTATTATTCTTTTTTAAAAACACTCGACATACAGGGTGAATAATAAATTTCCTGCTTATTAAATTTGCGATCGAAGTAGCCCATGATTTTTTGATTACACTGCATAATATGGAGACAAAAGATATGAAACAAATTTGATATCATCTCCCTCTAAAATCAGTGTTACCAATTAACTTTTGAACCACAGATTACTTTGCCCAGAAATTTTTATCTCCTCTGATCCCCACTGTTACCGCGTAAAATATACGCATATTTATTAAAATCACTTTGTGTAGATTTACAAAGTGATCTAGCTGTTACCAAGAATCAACTCAGAAAATCAAAAAAAAATGTTTAAGTCTTCTCAAAGAACATTTTTTTTGTTCAGATTAGAAGTAGATAAATTCTTGGAGGCTCGAAAATCGTGATATCTGCTTCGTTAATAGTTATTTTTGTAATTTGCCTCCATTTTGATTCTCTAATAGACATTTTAAAGAACGTGACGTCATCATGTGCGATGTCTTAATAGTGAAAAGACGACTAGATCAAATTTTGACTTTTAAAATTAAGATATTACCAAACGTCACAACAATTTTTAAATCGATTAAAGTAAAAAATTAAATATTCGGAAACGGCATAAAGAGAGCAAGTTAGAGAAAATAGTATAAGACCTTGAACAGTCAAGCCACTCGTTTTTTAAACTTGAATTCGTGCTTCAAGACTGGTCTTATGAAACTGTTTTTTAATACTGTTGTATTACAAGAGAGGAAAGTGTATCTTTTTCTCCCACAGGTGGAAGTTAATGCCCGAGAGTTGTCGAGGGCAGTAACCACTCAGGAAGGAAAAGACACACTTCCCTCCAGTGTAATACTTATTTATAATTTCTATTACGATCCAGCAAGAAAAACTTCAAAACTAGTAATTCCCTTTTTATGAGGGAGGTAAGATTTTTACCTCCCTCCTTATATTGTTATTGTTATTTTGACAGATTTTTTGATAGAGCATTTTTAGTATTTATACCTCTTTTCCTTTCTGAAATTATGGTGGAAAACTTTCTGTTGTTGTTTCTAAAAAATAAAAGCTAAAATAATTTTGGAAAGTGTGCTCTTTTTGTTAGTTTTTCGAAGGTTTTGCTTGATCTTGTGTACACTATGTTCAAATACAGAGTGGTTATAAATGATTTTCATCTAGCCAGCTTTGGAATTTTTTTGTATGTAATTTTATTTGTGCCGCTCTAATTTTTTGAAAGCTCTAGTTCTGTCATTAGTGTCACTTATTAATTAATAATAAATTGTTGTTCATTAAACTTTTATTGTTTCAACTAATTTCCAATAATAATTGATAATAATGTATATTTTGAAAGAAAACAAGTTTATAATTGAAGTCTATTTTCGAAGTGGACGTGGATTTTTTAATTTTGAGTTAAAACAAGTAGGTACCCCTATTTTCGTAAAGCGGCATTTTTTATTTTACATGGAAAATTCACAGCTGGCTTGATGAAAATCATTTACTCTGTAGTATACTAACGAACGCGTTTCTTAGGGCAAGTTTTGTGGAATTAGTTCAGGTTTATAAAAAACGAGTTCCTATTTCTGAAACAAGTTTTTTATACTATTTTATCTATTTTGCGCGTTTTACTTTTGCCCTAATAAGGTGGTGATTGCTAATAAATGTCACAAAGTTTGAAAAATTCGATTTTCGAAGTGTCAAATCTCGATCATTTTTCAAAATTTTGTTGAATTAACAATGAATACTTTCATGCACACCACCTGAAATAAAAGAAATCGCTCAAAACGCCACTCAAAATCACTATTACCAACCTCTAAAATACTTTTCACAATTTACTAATTTCTACAATTTACTTATTGTACCGTGCGATCAAAAAAAAAAATAAATTAGAGTAGGCGGTGTTTAAAGTCCTACAGATTTTTGACATCAAATGTCAGCGGAAACTTTGACAAGTTTGCGTTTTATTCATTTTGAGTGAAATAATGTTCACTTTAAAGCAGAAAATTTTTATTGTTGCAAGTTATTACAAAAGTGCTGTACAAGACAAAAACGGTGAATGGTCATTTTCACTTTCAGTTTGTGTGGAAAATATTCAGCCCAGATTTCCAGCCAATGTGTTGCCAACTGTAGAATTTAATTGACGCCTACTCTAACTTTTTTTTTTTTTTTGATCGCACGGTATTAGTTTATATCAGCACCCAAATTGGTGTTGAAGTGGCTCATTAAAACATTGGTTTTAGTATCGAAATAAGCTTTTTCTATTTTGCATTTAGAATAAGTCTATATTCCAATACTCAAATAACGTCATTTGAGCGCTTTAATAAGTCGTTGGCGTTAATTTAATTTTAGTGACGGACTTTCTTCACTATTCATTTTCAAATGTGAAAATAAGAGTTATTTTTATTTTTCACAGCCGCCAATCGTCGCAAAATTCTCTAGATTTTTTTTTAATTTTCGTTTTTTAACTTATAAAATGATAAAGTGGCAAAATAGAAAAAATAGTATAAAGCACTTGTTATAATAGTATAAAGCATTTGTTCCTCAACTCGCCGCTACGCGGCCTCTTTCGGAATTTCTTTGTGGTTGAATTTTTGTGCTTCTGCCACTTGTACTTTAATATACTATCTTTTCAGACGCAAATAGAAAAAAAAAACGAGAAAAAAACAGCTTTTTAGAATCTCTACATTTGTCAAAGACGGTTCGCGTAATATAATTACTTGTTACGCCACTGTTGAGTCAGCAATAAAGCTTGAGAGTGTACTAAAAAACTTCTAGTGTAACTTTGTGACAGAATAACTTCTTCCAAATTATGTATTTATTTTTTTTTTTTGCATAATTTTGTGTATCACTTTCGTTTCGCTGGGTTGGTAATTGGTAAATGTCGTGAAAACAAGATAATCGGTGTGGGTCGTGGGTTCGAGCATGGGTGGCACCCCACAGACCTGTCATTATCCCAAAAACCATTCCCCCAAATGTGTCCCACATGTTGATGATTATTTTTCATTTCTCCCTGACATTACTTAACCTTTTTTTTTCTTCCACAAACACCGAGTTTGGCTTTTAACGCGACTTGTCGACAAACGAGCGGAAATATCCACTCCATTTTGTCAAATTCCCAATTACACAAACACTCAAAGTGGAGGATCGATGCGATGGAGCGTGCATCCGGCGCTTTTATTTTTTCGCGTCATTTATCACTTTTTGGTAGGTTTTTGGGCACAAAGCCGGCCTCCTCTCGTACCTGACGAGAGTCGTCGAGCGTAAAAGAATGCGGCGACCTTTTGAGGCCCTCGGTTTCGGCGATGGTGATGTCTTGCTGCTTGTTTTCTGCTGCTGCTTGCCATATCCGGTTGTTGATGATGCGTGGTTGTGGTCCAGAGACTGGTTGGTTCTTCTCCTTGCAAGGTCAGCGACTGATCCAGCATCCAACGGCTCCTCTCCCTCCCACTTCTTCCTTCCTTCCTCCTCTGCACCAGGCCACATTCCGAGCCGACGAGCGACGTTGCCGACCTCACTGCCCGTTTTTTACCACGGCCACCGTCGACCGACACAACACAAATTTATATCACACACAAACACCAATTTTTACTCAAAAATGTCACAAAAATTGAAAGAAATTCAAACGCGCGCTTGCTGACGCACGTAAACTAGCTTCTGTGATTGGCTGATGGACTCCATTCCAGACTTCTGATTGGTGGGTTCACATTTTTTCTACTATTTTGACGAAATAAAGCTAAGGCATACTTTACTTAACAAAAAAGAAGAAATAACCCCATTATCTTTATTGCCATTATCAAATTCTTATACATATCATAAAAGAATTGTTATTTAAAATTATGTAAATTAAATTATGGTTTTGAGAGTCATTTCGTAAAATCTGTTCTAAATTGCAGCATTTTGACCTTGAGTGTCTGGGTATTTTTGGACACATATTAGGGACTGTTAAAATAAAAATTACAAGTGATTGGAAGCTTGAGCATCCGTTATGGAGTTTTAATGAGGAAATAGAATTGTGAAACCTCGAACACACCTTTGTCGTGTCGTAAACCATGTCCAATATTTTTCTCATGCACGTGACATATTACGTCATGTCAGGAACACGTCTTTGATTCCACCTCCCCTTCTTCCTCTTGTTCTTAAATAACGATTTAACGCGAAGCGACGCCACTCTTATTACAGTCGCATTCTTGTCTAACCTTCTTGATCTCTCCAATTGCCTTTATTAAGCTCATTGTTGGTAATGGTGTAATTCGGCATTTGCAAGGTGCTGCCTTCTCTTAAAATTACACAATTAAAGTCTTCACGTGGAATGAGAGAATTGTATCCCACTTTGAAAAAAATTCAATTCCGATATGCGGATCCGCATAGGAACTGGTTTTAATAATAGAATTGAGATAAACGCGACAAACAAGATAACGTCCTCGCGCTTGTCGACCCACTTAAAACTACCGAAAATTCCGGATTATTCCGGGAATTCCCGTTAAGTACTCGTCAAATTCCAAGTCCAGATGCAGTCCATGTGGTTATTGCGTTGCGCAATTTGATGGTTTTGGCGAGGAAGGGCAGCGCATGCATGTGGGCCGAGGTTGAAGACCTGCATTGTCACCTTATCTTATTTTTTCCATCTGGTTTTTTGATATCGAGATGGTTGGGGAAATGCGGCAGGCCTTGACCCCCGTGTGGACGCTTGAAACGATGTCAAAGGGAGGAATTGGACGTTTGCTGAAATTCTTTCTAATTGGAGCTAATTCTTGTGTCAATGAGTGACTCCACTTGCTCTGCGTTAACCTGAATTCCAGAAATCGTTTCGGCGCGCGAAATCTTTATTTAATTGAATTAATTGGAAGACAGTGGCGGTGGCAACGGGAAAGCATGCCGGAAATTGATAAATTATCAATTTGGTTTGAGCGATTCGGCACGCGAAGTGTGCGGATTATGTAAGCTTGGAATGTACTGATTTGAATAAACAATTATCGCGGCGTGTGACGTTTCTACACTTAGAAGTTTGACAC